TGAAAAGATAAGAGGCTCTTATTTTATATTGTATCTTGTCAATACTAGTAATTTTGAGTTTCTAATTCGTACGAAACTATAGACTTAGTATTTTGACTTCACAAACATCTAATTTGAACAAGTGCTGCATTCAACATACCACGTGACACACAAAAATTAATGTTTATCTGTGTTTTTTTAATATTTGCTTTTAAATTATGAAATTGAGTAATATATAGTACTGAAATTTGAATTATAATCTACAGTGTGATACTAAAGTTATTGACATAAATTCATGAAATAGTAGTTCAATAAAATTTTGAATACAAGTTTCTTAATTAATTCTGAGTGGATGCAATCCATCTCAGGACAAAATTGCAACACTGAATACCAAAAAAATTAAAGAATTGTGACTTGTGGTCATTTTTCCACATGTGTATAAAAAAAACTTCAGTGTTTTACTTGGTTTTACACGTAAATTTTTTTTTTAAATTTCCAATTGTGATTTGTAGTCAATTTTAGCATGCTTTGAACAAAATCATTAGTGTTTGTGAATTTATTGATTTTTTTTTCTGTAATACAGCATTTGTAGCACTTAGGAGGAAAGTCATAATAGTTTTGACCACAATAGTGCTAATTTGGCCTCATAAATTTACTACGAGTGTAGTTTTATAGATCTTTAGCCAATCAGAGTTCTTAACTTTGGTTGCCATGGTGTGATGTAATTGCTTATATTTCAGTTTCTTGAAGTCATGGGCTACTTAGCTAAACATACCATAAAGCTCTTTTTTGTGTTCTTTGGAATGTAACACCAAAAAGGCTTCAGTTCAGCAAAGATTTGTATATATATATATATGTTCCAAACCCTTCTCTTTTTGGATATATATATATATATAGGGAGAGAGAGAATTATGAACAAAGCAATCAAAAGTTAGCTTGGTGGTATGTTGCTATAAGAAAAGATGTTTGTGAACATTTCTTACAGTTACAGTCCTGATTTTTGTTTAAAGCTTATGAAATGTATACTTTATCATTTTATACATCATATGAATTATGATGTTGAAATATGGTAGGAAAAGAAATGTTTTTATGGAACAATATGAGGTAGGCTTAGTTAAGTCATTTTAACTCACTTTTATTGAATTTAGTTTTGCCAACAAGACAGTTTTGTTTGCATTAGGTATACTTTATCATTTTATACATCATATTAATTATGATGTTGAAATATGGTAGGAAAAGAAATGTTTTTATGGAACAATATGAGGTAGGCTTATTTAAATTGTTTTAACTCACTTTTATTAAATTTAGTTTTGCCAACAAGACAGTTTTGTTTGCATTAGGTCATGTCGGCTTAAGTAACTGAATGAGCAAAGGAAACTGCAAAAAAGAAATTTGAAAAGAAACATGTAAAGGAATATAAAACATCTTTAAAATATTATTATATATATAAAATGAAACCCTCTGATGGACAGTTTTAAAAAGGTCAGCTTAATTATAAATCTGGTATAGTTGTTATTTTTATTGTATGCCAGTGATTGTAAACACTGAGAAACTACATGCATTTTTTCAATCAAAAGAAATATAAAATTTATAGTTTCCTAAAACCTTTAAAGTAATGTTGGAAGACTTAAAATCAGTGATTAAAATCTGAAGCAAAAGTAAGCATTTTTAATAAACATATTACAATAAAATCTTTTAAAAATTTCTTAGCTGCCAACTCATACAAATATCACATATGAAAATGTTATATTTGCAGAAACTACATAGACTGTAGAAGGTAATTCTAAGTGTCAAGCCATTTCATCAAGTAGGGTTTTTTTGCAAAGTAATAAAACAAACCACACAATTAGTGTGTCAAATTGACACACCTAGGTCTTGTAGAGTTTATCCTCATTCTTCATTACTCATAACTTTGTTAACTGTTTACTAAAGTTAATTTTCAAGCCAATCTATATAAGTGAAACATGTTATTATGCATTATATGTGTTATTCTGGAACATGGTACCCTTTTTAGGTTATTACACAATTCACTTGGAAAGAACGTTTAGATTACATGGTGTGTAATATTGGAACCAGAGTAATGTAGTACCTTTTTGAAGTAAGCAACATATTATTACACAATTCACTTGGAAAGAACATTTAGATTACATGGTGTGTGATATTGGAACCAGAGTAATGTAGTACCTTTTTGAAGTAAGCAACATATTATTACACAATTCACTTGGAAAGAACGTTTAGATTACATGGTGTGTAATATTGGAACCAGAGTAATGTAGTACCTTTTTGAAGTAAGCAACATATTATACACATTTCACACAGAAAGAACGTTTAGATTACATGGTGTGTAACATTGGAACCAGAGTAATGTAGTACCTTTTTGAAGTAAGCAACATATTATACACATTTCACACAGAAAGAAGAACATAAAAATTACATGGTGTATGATGCTGGAACTAGGGTGGTGTGGTAATCTTTTGATGCAAGAAGTTATGTTGAAACTTCATAATGAGACATGAAATATTTGTAGACACTAAAAGAATACATAATTGAATTTCATGGGGTAAGAGTATGGCTTTAAGATATTTCCAGTCATGATATTTCATCCCTTTTGTTACCAGGAAGTCCCGTGGTAGGTAAGTTTATGGACTTACATAAGTAAAAATTTGGGGGTTGATTTCCCATGATGGACTGAGTTTGGATAGCTCATAGTGTAATTTTGTGCTAAAACAATAACAACTACCCTGAAATAGAAATGGTATTAGTTTCTGATGTGATACATTATCTCTACTCACATAATTAGCTATTCTCATTCAGTGCTGCCCTTTATGTGCAAACTTTTTTTTCACATGCCACAAGCCTTGAACTTCCACATACCCCACAATCAACATGGTTCAACTGCGTTTTGCATATAAATCATCATGCAACAACCCTTCACCAACAATAGTGCAACACTCCATTCTGACGCATTCGACTCCCTCTATTCGATTCTACCGAACTATCACTTCTCATTAGGCAGTGCTTTAGTCAAGATGTGTTTTGATTGTGCTCTTGTCATGCATTTCTTCTCTCTAATATTATCATATGAAGTGGAAAGATCATTTATATCTTTTACTACAGTTTTATGTTTAAAGTTTTCAGTGATAACTTACCTTAATTATTGTTTTCCAATTGAATTATTTTCCAATTTTCATCATTTTACAATGAATACCTAAGAATTAAAGATTTTGTGAGTAGATTATATTGTGTTTTATATTATTAAGTAATTAATGCTGGTTTATTTTTATTTTTTTTCTATGCAGGATCCCAAAAAATTAGTATCGACTATTGATTTCAGATACATGTAAGTATATATATATCAGATCTGTGTCTGTTATAACAATTAAATTTCCAAGTATAAAAAAAACAACTGAAGATGAAACCCTTTTATCATGCTATTTTAAAGTTGAAGGTTCCCATTGGAAGGTGCACAAGAAAAAAGTATGCAACAAACTTCTGGAAGAGGTGTGGTTTTCCTATAAATGTGCTTGTAGCTCATTTTTTAAAAATTTTACCACAGTTTACAACTGTTCTGAATATTCATATTCATGCCTAGATTTTAGGGGTGAAATTTCTGTGTAGATGGTTTTTAGTCTTAATTTTTGTTTATTTTTTAAAGAATGAAAAAACATTAAGGATGTTAAACCATTTTTTGTTTGTATTTTCATATTGGGCCACTAGATGGCAAAGCAGTTTGCATTTCTATGGTATTCCACACACACATTTACATTGACTGCACTGCTGTAAGTTAGGGTTTGAAGGACTGTGTTTTGCTACACTGACTTGCAGATATTCTTGAATCATGGAGATGACAAGATCTATCTATTTTATAAAGATACTGACTTTGTCATTATTTATATTTTCATTGATTGTGCTGCTGTTATACGGTTAGTTTAAGCACGTTTTGATTTCTAGTTTTGCTTTTTTCTGCCATTATTTTTAAACCATGAAGGTGATACACATGTAATCAATAAAGATGTGAAAAGCAAGTGGTCTTGACCGTGAAGAGGGCATATATAAAAAAAAAAACTGATTTTCTTGGACAGTGTTTTTAGACTGTGATTGTCTGAACAGTGGAAGTAAAAACATATTTCATAATAACCATATTAAAAACAAATGGCATATGTAATTATTCACAGCAAAACTAAATTAAAATGTTCAAAACTTTCAGGTGCTGATTCAACTACATGGACAATAAGCATAGTAGATTGAGTAGCAGGCCTGAAGTGCGTCTGTTAATGAATACTGTTTGTCATTTTCCATTGTTAAATATCTAAGTGATTTCTCCAAGCGAGTTGTAAATAAGTGCTCCATAAATTTCACTTCAAGGAAATACGGATCATATATGCAAGCACACTTGGTAGACACTTTAAAAACAGAATTATGTAGCACCTTAAAGAATATTTGGATGCATTTGCTAAATACTTCTATTTCAAATTAAATATAATATGTTTCTGTCATTATTATGCACAGTGTGTGTGTGTTTGTTTCTGTTTGTTTCATGAACAAATATTTATACATATTTTGTTTTTAAGAATAACAAAAATAATGTTTCCTAGGCTGCTTAAGTCAGGAGAACCTTTGGATTCTGGGTAGAAATGCCCAGGGCCAAAATTATTCATCTCACTGCACTTGGCAAGATACCCCCTTTTTTCAGTCGTGACCACTACTTTGTGCTCCCACCCCTGTGGATTATGGCTAAATTATAGAAGCCACTGGCATTTTTATAAATTAGTTACCATTAATTTTGGAATGTGAGCTAGTAACTGGCTCAACTCTCTAGATTTTTGTGTGAGTGTCATGGTGCACTGCTTATTGGAGTTTATAATAAAAGTCAATAGCTGCCACAGTTCGAGTGAAGGTGCCATTAGAAAAAGAGCCTCTGAACCTTCAGCAGTTGGTTACATAAGTGTCCTAAAAGTCCAGATGACTTATTCAGGTGACAATCCTTTGTGGATAATGTGCTGAAGAAATGAAAGATTTTTATGAGTTTAAAGTTTTAGTGCAAACAGGAGAATTGCATTCATTGTTAAAAAGATAAAAAAATGACCTATTACTCAAGAAAACATAATTGGTTTTATTTAATGCAATATTTTGTTATTACGTCTTCATTGGGGAAATATGGGTGATGTGTACCCTCTTACCCACAAAATAATGTATTAGGTTTAAATATTTTGTCATTATAAAAATACTTAAGGTAAATATCTGAAGCATATAATATATATATATATATATATAATGGAAACTAACTGATAAGCTGATGTTTGACCATATTTTAGGTCAGATCTACTAACAAAAGAAGAAGCGATAGGTAAGTATATTCTGTCATACAAGTAACGATATAAACTAATTTATCAAACTACCTAACCATCGAGGGACTATCAGACAAAGGTACCCACATCCTTGCTTAAGCTTCATTTTTTATTTCTTAAAACTGTAATGAAAATGGTTTCTGTTGTGATGCTTGTTGTTGTAAAACTGAGTAGTTTGATGTTAAGAATGATTATGGACTTTAAAAGTCTTGGAAGCACTGAATCCTCTGGATGATTCTCCATCACCCATTGTCTCTCATCCAAAGGAATCAGTGTTTCCAATGCTGTTGAAGTCCATAATCACTCTTATCTTCTTGTGAGTAATTTCATTTATCTTTTAATATTATAGTTTTTACATGCATTAAAATTGAGTTTACTAATGTTCTCTGATACCCTCACATCTACATTTATTTGTTATAACACAGGATCAGAGGCAAAGTAGTATTTTTTTGGTGGAAGGACAAGGAACAAGAGATTCCAGTATTTGTTTTTGAAGGTGATGCGTATGATGTTGTAATGTCCGGAATCTGCCAAATATGCAGTATATATGATGGTAAATTATTTCAGTTGGGAGTAATGAGCAGTCAGAGATACACAGGGTATGGAAGTGGCTGCATCACCTTACCAGCAACAGTCACACACATGAATTGATTATCTATTTTTTTCTTTCTGATTCTGAAATAAAATTATATGATATTACATTATTGGCTATTTGAGGTTGCAGACTTTGTTTTTGATATTCTGATCTGCCACAAGGCTACTACTGCTACTATCCTTATCAGCACCAAATCAATTTTTGAGTACCATCACAGCTTTTTTTGAGTTTGATAAATGGATTTTCTTCAACAAAGTCTGTCAAAACGTTCAGTGTAGTCGCATTCACAGAGGCTGCACAGCTTCCAATTCAAACACATCAGAACCTTTCAGGTAATCAAGGGAATAATGGTGACTGATGATGAAATTCTGAAGAATACAAAAGTTCCAGTCGTGGTCATAAGGGCTTGGAGCTATCTGCCAAAAATGTGTTGAACCCTGATCTGAAAAACAAGTGCAATATCAGCCCAAAAAAGAAGGTTCATATAACAGACCCGCGGGTTACACAACAAAAAAGTACTGTCTTAAACCTTGTAATTTTTGCTGTGATATGGCCAGTCATAACCTGGTCAGTTTGTATCTGATTTGAAAACTAAAATGTGATATTCATCTCTCATCATAAGCTATCACCTATATAAATTTCAAAAATTGGATATATTCCAGATTTTTACATCTGATCCCTGCCATCTTGATGCCTCTGGTTGGGGGGAGAGATTTTGTGTTAAAAAAAAGAAGTAAAATTTCACTTTGTTTCACTAATTTGTACGTGTGATCAGGTTAATTAAGTGTTATAATAGAACCATACTAAATAATATACAGTACATTTTCCTTGAATATACAGAGACTGGTAAAAAAATATATATATACATGATAAGGGGAGGTCAACATTTTAGCCAAATGACATTTGTTATGATCTGAAATATGATATTAATTTTTATGTATGTGAATTTATAATGGAACATTTATTATTGGAAAAATCAATAAGTAATTTACGTTAGACTAAACCACAACAGTTACCAACTTAATGTTCTGGCAGTTTTGAATAATTCACTATGATTTTGGAAAACCTGATCTGTATTTCATTATTTGTGTGTTTATTTTGTGTTGTTATTGATAAACATGTCTCTTCCTTATTAGCTGATGTTTACAAATTTTTCAGAAATTTTAGGAAGAAATGAGCCATTAAAAATGTTAAATGGTAAGTATTCTATTTTGAATTACAGTTATAAAGGAAAGAATATTGAATGCTCAATTTTTAAAAACCATTGAACAGTCAAAAGGAAAATGAATATCAGATCATAGATAATGTATTGTTAAAGTGATGTTATGGGAAAAAAGTTTTTGGTTTCGTTTTTGTTACTGATATGAAGAGCAATATTTAATAGAGATTTTGGATAACTAAGAAACTTTCCATTTCAAATAATCCAAACAAAAATATTACATTTCTTTTCAAATTTTCATGTTAAACTTGAATTTGGTATCATAGCACTTAAAAGCATTATTGTTCTTAACTTTATTTTATGTAAGGTTGAAACTGTACTTTTTTTTACAATCTATATTGTACACACAAATTTAGTTAGATCCCTTTCAGTTGGCTTGACTATGTATGCTCATTTTACACTGTTGTATTTTAAGCTTATTCTTAATTGGTTAAAGAGTTCTAATCCAAATATGTAATGATATAAATTAAGATTTTTTTGGAGTGTGTCCGAGCTAAAATTTGTGCTTCTCCATTTAAACACTACTAAAAGGCCTGGCATGGCCAGGCGATTAGGACGCTTGACTCGTAATCTGAGGGTCATGGGTTCGAATCCCCGTTACACCAAACATGCTTGTCCTTTCAGCCATGGGGGCCTTATAATGTGACGGTCAATCCCACTATTCGTTGGTAAAAGAGTAGCCCATAAGTTGGCAGTGGGTGGTGATGACTAGCTGCTTTCCCTCTAGTCTTACACTGCTAAATTAGGGATGGCTAGTGCAGACAGCCCTCATGTAGCTTTGCACGAAATTCAAAACAAATCAAACCAAACCACTACTAAAAACATCATGTTTTATAAGTTTAACATAACAGCAAATGTACAACGTTTCGACAAGGTTTTGTCATGTTTTATTGTGAACATTATGATTCACCAACTGCACTTAGACTGAAAATGTAAAATTTCAGACATTGGGTATATGTTTATAAATCATTTAATTTAGATCACATTCATATTCCATTGTTTAGAAGTTTATTTTGTTTTGATCCATATTTATTAATTTTTCAGAACATAAAGTTTTGCAGTCAGGAATTCGAGCTTACACAACTGGTTTTGGATGGATTGGATTTGATGACAATAAGATTCGTAAGGTAAGTCTACTAAAAGCTACAATAAATAGTTTAATATGCATTTGGATGTTGAGCATTGGAAATTTTATACCAATGTTCATGATGTCCTATTTGGCAAGTTTTGAATACGCCAGTTGAAGTTCCAGTGTCTTCAGAGATATAAAAAAATACTCATATAGTAAGTTGTATCATAAAGAAAACATATCGTTATTGAGGTATTAAAGTCTTGTAAAGTTTGCTAACATTCCTTCCATTTAACAGTCTAATTTCAGACATATTTTGCATTTTTTTGAGGTATGGTATTGATAAGTAAAGCAACTGGTTTTCTCTGTATGTTATAGTAAACTTGTTGAACCAGTATAGATAATTTTGTTGGAATTGACCCATCATTGATATTAGGCTTCAATGTGATTTTAATTTTTTTTTATATTCTGCTGGTAGGTGAGGAACGAAAATGTTGTATAACTAAACAATTTATAAAAATTAAATGTAGTTAGTATTGAAATAGAGATATATGAAACCAGCAGCATGTTTACACTAACTGTTACTGAGCAGTATTTCTTAATAAACAACAGAAAATATCAAGATTAGTGTCAGTGTACATAAATGCTCTTTTGTTGTTGCATATATATATATGTAAGAAGAAAAAGTGCCCATTCCCTAAAACACACAGCTGTCACAGTTATGTTTGTGCCAAAAATTCCTCAGAGAGCACGGGTTTGTCCGGTGGTAAAGCTCTGGATTTCAGCACTGGCAGGTTGGGTTCGAATTTGTGGGATACCAAAAATATTTCCAGCACTTTAAGCTGTAGGTGCCTTAGAAGAATGACAGTCAAACCCTTAGAGTGGGCGGTAGGGTGTTGCTGACTGGCTGCCTTCCCTCTGCTCAGTTGTTCAAAATTATGGATGACAGCAGACAACCTTAATAGCCATAAATATAACAGAAAAACAAACTTCCTCAACACATATTCCACTCAGTTTTGTTAAGTACACTCTTGTTGTATGTAAAGCTTTAGTTTTAGAACCTTGCAAAAAAGAAAAGCATGGTTCATAGACTAGTGTTGAAATCAGTTTTCTATAGCCTTCCAAGTCTCAACCAAAATTATACATTTATATTTTAAAGTATTTATGTGTATATAACGTATACTCACATGTAACAGATTCGTCTTCTTAGTCTGCTTGTGTTTTTGTTTTTTATCTGATCATTAAGTTTTAGAATGTATTTTGATATTGTCATATATTTCTTTAATTGAATTTTGTTTTTTCTAATTTCCAGCTGTGTAAAGAAAATCTAAGTGCAGGTTTTACTAGGTAGGTTACATAACTATCTCGAATCTTAACTAGTATTTTATGTTGTACTTACTTATTTAAAACAGTGAAACTTTTCTATTCTTGCTTGTAACATTGCATTGGTTTGCTTGTTTAACAGATATTTGACAGGTTGTCTATTGGCTATTACTGTGTTGAGTGTGAAGTAATCTCCATGAAGATGCAGTCTCTGATAGCTGTAACTTCATTTTTTTTTCGTTTTTCTTTAGTTGTCACTTTAGAGTTGAAGCTACATCTATCATGATCATTTTAGATTCAAAATGAGATTATGATTAATATTTTAAATATGACTTCCTGATTGTTTCATTCAAAACATTTCAAACAATGTCAGGTAATTATGGTTGATAATATTGTTAACAACAAGAATATCCAACTGATGAAGCAGTGAATTGTAATCTTTATAAATATGAATGTAAGAAAAGTATATTTAATTAGCTAGAGCCATTACTGATAAAAGTTGAATTCTAGTTTGGCTTGTTTTGATCAAAAATTAATACTAATTATGGAGTAAAATCTGTGATTAGCATAACTGCAAAAACTGACAGGAGAATCTTGTACTCATTGTTGCATATTGTTTGCTGTTACAAAGTGTAAGCTTTTTAATAGAGGGATTTACTATGGTAATATGTTGCTTCAAGAGATAAACAACATTGGTTAATACTAGTTATGGATATGAAGGTATAATAATTTATAACAAGTTTTTTTTTTTTATTTCAAGCTTCAAGTTGAAGGTAGGTTCAGATCTAGAGCAGGACAAAAGGAGATTAGGCTTAGTCAGGGAAGAAATTGGACCTGAAAATAAATTGGTAAGTTTTAACTGTATGTGTTCTTATAATAATTTGATTTTGACAAATTAATGTGTTTTAGCACAGTATTAAATGTTTGGTGTAAAGAATCATCATGATTTTGAGACCTTTTAAATTTATAGCATCCCTGTGAGATATTTTTATAAAACTTGTTACATTGAGATGGAATTTAGACTTTCTTATAACTAATACGTTAGATCTTAATAATCAAATGAAATCTGAATTTAATATTGTATAAAGATTTTTTAGTAGTTGTTTATTTCATATAGCAGAAGATACTATTTTCCAATTTTTGTAAACCTGTTTTTTTGGATAATTATTAGGGAATGATTAAAAGATATTTCTAACTTGTAAATTATAGTTCATTGTTGAATATCTAGAAGTTTTATTAATTTCCATAATCTGTAACAATTTGAAATAGTTAACACTGTCAACAGCATCAGTCAATTTGACCAACCTTGCATTGTAATGTTTAAAATAATTCTGAATTTACTTAATGTGTCTTCTTGAAATTTGGTGAGCTTTTAATATACTTTATAATTCCAATATGGTACATTACCTCCGTTCACATAGTGCTGCCCTTTATATGGAAATATTTTTTGGCACTCCCACTCATCAACAGTTAGCGTGGTTCCACTGGGAGTCCCTGTCACTTTCCAGTTCCAAGCTGCTAGGGTGGTGGACAGTGGAAGTATCCTCCTGAATGTGATCTTATGCAAATAACTAAATGTACAACTACATTCAGTTGAGAGTAGAGCAGTGGTGTTCTGCTGATGTAGATGATGGTGATTGTTCATTCATATGCACCATTTCTTTCTGGTGGTTTACAAAGATTGATGCTGCGCTCGGCTTCTGTGACTCTCCTGAGGGTGAGGTTGCATATCATTTATAAGGGCAGTACTCTTCCGTGCGGTGGTAACTGGAAGTTAGAGATGCACTCCAATGCTGTACAGTCTTGTCCAAGGGGACAAGATTGCACATGTACATTAATAATGAAAATGCTCCATCTCTGTACAGTGGACTTTGAGGGTTGATGTAGCGCCCAGTTTCCGTGACTATCCGGAGGAGTGCAGTTGCATATAATTTTAGGAGCAAACCACTTCTGTGCTCCAATGCTATAAGGTCTTATCTGAGGAGATGATGTTGCTTTGGGGTTTATCCGTCACATTGCAGTTTCACTCCTTTGATTGATTTTCACTGGTTTTGGATGTTGAGCAGGACCAATCAACCTGTGCTTTCTTTTCTGCCTAAACTCGGAGTGATAGTTTGGTAGAGGGAGCCACATATATCAGGAGATTGTGTCACACTTCTATTGGTGAAGGGTTGTTACATGACAATTTGCATGCGAGATGCAGTGGAACCACGATAATTGTAGGTAAGTGGGAGTGCAAGGCTTGTGGCATGAAAAAAAATGTTTGCATATAGAGGGCAACAAGAACAGCTATATATGTGAGAAGAGGAAAGAACCGATCAGAAATACATTTTCAGTGTAGGGAAATGATGACATCTGTTATATAGGAAAAAAACAAATTTTTTAATAAAATATTCCTACGAAAGATTTGTATGTAATTATGAAGCCTTTACTGAGTTAATTTTAATGAAAAGTGATTTGCATGTTTGAAGCAAGTAGAAATTTTTGAGGAAATTTCATCAATTGCTTCAATAGTTATGGATATTTAAAAGTACTTTAGAATTACTTAGAATAAAAACTTTAAGATAGGAGACGCCTGTGTTACGAAATAAGCCTTGAGAAATTAATAAACAAGAACTAGGTTAGACATTCAGAAGTAAATAGCACAACACGTGCACAAGCCTGAGAGGCGAGCCTGGGAAATCAGTGACCAAGGGTCAATAGCAGAGTTAGTAACAGCTATTGCATCATAACCAGGAAGTGAACACCAATACATGTGACAGTTTGATGAAGTGTTGGCCTCGCTTTCTTAGCACTATAGAAGCTACAGAAAAGTTTATATTTAGTGAATCATCTCAATGCTTTGAAGCAGTATTAGTTACAATACATGGGTGTAACAGCACAAGTGAATAGGCGGCCGGCTAACACCATTTATCTATGACCAATAACTTGAGAGTTTTGGTTTAGGTTCTGGATTAGCCCGGGAATTGCCCTAAAGCATCCAATAGGAGCACAGGACTACTTGTGAGTGATGCTGTGTCCTATTTGGTAGGGTCACACTAACACTAAGAATGAGAGTTTAAAAACCCATGTCAGAGACTGAAAAATCAGTTCTCCGGACAGCAAAGAAGCTCTCCAGCAGTTCTCTCTAAGAAGAAAAATGAAGCTGAAATTCTCCAATGTGGCTACAGCCTCCAAAATTCCAACTCTACAGTAAGTATATTCTCTCTCTCTTAATCAGCTAGTGCAAGAAGCATTAAAGTTTTTACCAGTAATGTTTTTGATGATTTGTATGTTAATAGTTTAACAACAAGCAACTGATTTTAATAAATATTATTTTGAGTATTTACTGTTGGTCTGAGACTCCTATTCTTTAGTGTAACTGTAAACTCCTCGAGTTAGCGACTTGTGGCTCCACTCGTCACGACAAATCCTCCAATAAATAAATTTGGTGTAAAGGTTGGTTTTAATCGAAACTCTAACAATTAAGCTCACCTGAGCGCTAACCTTTACAGCTGGCGCAGTCGACAGGATTTTTGGAGTAGCTAACGACAGGTTGGTTAGAGTAAAGAAAAACGGAAAGTAAGAAAGTCAGTCGAAGTACTATGAGTAGTGTAAGTTAGAAATAAGTTAGAATTAAGTAGTTATGGCTACTGCTGGTGTAGATACGACTACAGTGGAGGGTTGTATATGTCCTAGAGTCGATAGAAGGGCTGACGTTAACCATGAAGCCGCAGCGGAACAACCCGCACAAATAGGGCCCCGTGGCGCAACACACTTAACAAGTGCCATACCACTGTATCACGGTAATACAGATGAGGATGTTGAAAGCTTTATCGACACCTTAGACGAAGCAGCTAGAATATCAGGCTGGACTGATGCCCAGAAAGCTGATATATTACTTTTAAGAACAGCAGGAGGAGCTAAACGTTACATTAGAGCTTATGGCGAGCTTTGTGAAACAACAGACTATCAATACTTAGTGCGTAAGCTACTAGACGGGTATAGGACGCGAGAAACTACCAATGTAATTTTAACAGAAATGCGTAACCTATATCAACAATATGGCGAATCGGTCCGAGTTTTTGGACATAAGCTACAAGAGTTAGGTAATAGATTGCGCAAGGCTTATGCACATCCAAGTGCGGATATGTTGCAAGATACTCTAAAATCTGAGTACGAACGAGGGCTATACAGTAATGCAGCTAGAGGACATGTAAATGAAGCAAATACCCCGCAAGCAACTTTACTAGATCTAATTAAAGTAGCCACTCGAGAAGAGCTACGAGAAAAGCAGATCTATAAGCCTAAATATTCTGCTATAAATGCAGTTAACAACTCTAGCAAGGCTAATCTGTCTAATACACAGAGTAAGCCCGATGGCTTCCAGTTCTTTAACTGTGGTAAAGTTGGGCATAAGGCAAGAAACTGCTTTCAAAAGCAGAAAAGAAACGAGCAGACAGTGTGCTATAACTGTGGCATCACAGGTCACATGGCACGAGATTGCCGACGCCCAAGAAAGGCTGAAAATGGAAAAGCCCCAAAGGCTGGAGCTTACAGAAAAAGGCTTGCCGATAATAACGGTAGACCTACCTTCGCTACAGGTCCAAAAAACGTAATCCCCGCCGGGATTACAGAGCGAAAGTAGAGGTAGTTCCGGCAGTATGGGATAAACGATCGAGTGTTCATAATATTAATGAAGTATCACCAATAGTTAAAGTAGAAGGTATAACATGTCGGTTATTGGTTGATACGGGTGCTCGATCGTCTCTACTAAGTTCTGAACTAGTAGACAGAAATCTGACACTATTAGATAATGCTTGGAAAGAAGTTTCCAGAAGTATTTTAACATCTATAACAGGACACCCTGTTAAAACGTTAGGTAGATATAATATGCAAGTAAAAGTAGGAAACCTAGAGCCAAATCACTCATTTTACATCTGTAAGCAGATAGACTTAGACACAGATGGTATTATAGGGCAAGATTTCTTAAGAACTTACGACACTGAAATACCTCTTACCCAAAGTAAGCTACGCATAGAAACAGAGGTCTTAAGTTTTGAAGGACTTGAACCTTCAAACTTATATGCGACAGTTGCGACACATGATACCTTCATGCTGACTAACGCTCAGACGCCTAACACTAGCACTAGTGAGGCTAAGGATCAACTGTCAAAAAACGAAAGCACTGACTTCTTATTAAAGTGTAGTGACACATGACAAAGTCGGAGGAGTAAGAATAAGAAGTGTCTTAAAGAAAGTTCTAAAAGAAAGCCAGAGAATAGGACTACGCAGAAAAACGCTAAACCTAGCAGAAGTCATAAAGATAAGGTGAGTGATACTACAATAAGGCAGAATAAGTTAATAAATAAGCTTTTAAAACAGGAAAATAATAATTCAAACCCCTCAGATGACTCTACACTTATGCCTAACATAAGCAACAGAGCATCCCAACAGTGTTTGAAAGAACAAGTTCCTGTAAGGTTAATTAAAATAACTGAAGTACCTGCGAGAAGTCAATTCATAATTGAAGCTAAAGTAAATGACTTTAAGTATAACGAAGAAGTGCTAGTTGAGCCTATCGAAATAGAAGAAACAGGAGTTTATATAGCTGCTAGTGTTAGTAAAGTGTCTAGGAGAGACACAGTGCCAGTAAAAGTATTAAATATAAACAAAGAAAAAGTAATACTACCTAAGAACATAGTAGTAGGTAAGGCTAGCAGTAGAGAACAGTTAGCTGTGGTAGGACAGCATAACTCTAATAATGTTAATAAACGGACACAAAAAGTAAGCTAGACTGGGATTCTATCTTAGGAAATATAAAACGAAAACATAAACAAAGTTTGATAAATTTGTTAGAAGAATATTG